CCGGATTGGCCGAGGAGGGCGTGGTACGCAGATGTGGTTCGGTTGGTGGCGGACGTCCCCTGGCGCCTGCCGCTCCGTCCAGATCTTCTATCTCAGGGTCCGGTGTTCCATCCGTCTTTACCGTCGTTGGCTTTGACGGCGTGGCTGTTGAGAGCCAGGTGTTGAGGGGTCGTGGTTCCTATAGCTTCCAACGCTTTCGTTCGCACTTTTGTGCAGGGGATTACACGTATTGTTCCCCCTGTTCGCTCCCCGTTGCCGCCGTGGGATTTGAATCTGGTACTCTGTGTTGCAGGAATCTCCCTTTGAGCCTCTGCGTGACATTCCAATTCTGACTCTATCTCAAAAAGTGGCCTTTCTGGTGGCAGTCACCTCGATCCGCAGGGTCTCAGAATTGGCGGCCCTCTCTTGCTCGTCCCCGTTGCTGGTCCTGCATCGGGACAAGGTGGTTCTACGGCCTCGATTGTCCTTCCTGCCGAAGGTAGTTTCGGCTTTCCATCTCAATGAGGACATTGTCCTGCCTTCCTTGTGTCCGCGGCCTGTCCACAGGAAGGAGAAGGCGCTGCACTGTCTGGACGTGGTCCGCGCCATCCGTGTTTATCTGAGTGCTATGACTGCGTTTCGGGAATCGGATTCCCTGTTTGTCGTTGCAGATGGCCCTCGGAAGGGCCGGGCTGCCTCGTCGGCCACCATCTCTCGATGGATTCGCGACACAGTCTCTCAGGCGTATGCTATTAAAGGGTGTGAGCCTCCTTTTTCTGTTACGCCCCATTCTACAAGGGCTGTTGGGGCATCTTGGGCTTTTCGTCATGGTGCCTCCGTTTCTCAGGTCTGTAAGGCCGCTGGAGAGAAAAGGATTTTACGGTGAGTACCAAAATCCTATTTTTTGTCAATAGTGGGTTATGTGCAATCTGTAAGACCCCGTTCACGCTGAGCAGTTTGCAGCGTGATTTCAGCTCCAAAATCGCTCAATGTAGCTTGTTCAATGCATTTCAAAGGAGCTGTTCACATCTCACAGCTCAGTGTCGCCTGTAGCTCGTCGCTCAAGCTTGTAGCTCGAACATGACCTATTTTCGGGCGATTTTGTACGATTTGGTCCAATAGACTTTAATGGTGTAGCTCAATGTCGCGCTACAGAAGTGTCACCTTTGCACAGAAATATAAGAAGGAAGGAATGATGTCACATCAAGACCGTTTTTGATTGGTTACAGCCCAATGTAGCAGCTACGAAGTCCCTACGATAAGTAGACGACAAAAACTGCAATGTAGCTTAAGACCCCATTCACACCTAGCGACATACCTTTTGCAGCGGATCCGCGCGGCCGGGATAGCGCGACTTTCGGGGCGACGTTCCAGCGACGATCCAGCGACGGTAGCGCGACCTTCCCCGTCGGGCTCCATAGAAAAAAAGCAAAATCGCGCAAAATCCGCAGAAAAAAGGGTCCGGTAGAAGCGACTTGCGACCGCGACGCGCGACAAGCGACGCGCGACATGGAGTTAAGACAGCTCCATTGAATAACATTGGCCGGCGACTTCTCGCGATATCGCGCGGCAAAAATGCGCGATATCGCGGCGGAAATCGCGCGACAATTCGCTATATGTGAACGGGGCCTAATGTCGCTCAGGTCAAAAATCGCACTTTTTGGGATGTAGCTCAGTGTGAATGGGGTCTAATAAATACTTTTGCAAGCATTTGTAGTGGTGTTTTAGGATGCAGAAAATAAAAATCTCTAAATTCTAAACCATCTCTGAAAATATTAAATGTAGACTTATGTCTGTACTGTGGTTTTATTAGTGTGAGTAAGAATTGGCTCAGCTACCTGGGATAAAAAGAAAAAGGGACAGTAATACAGCATTAAACATGGTTAAAAACCATCTCCCACATTAGGTCCCATCATATATGGCTGTGCAATTAATCTTGATGTGCAATAAGTCTTAGAAACCTAGATTTATTTCTAGTCCTCTTGCTGATAGTGTTCTTCTCTTTCCTTAGGCTCACACTATTTTCTCATTGCTTGGAATGGACCATGCATATGTCACCTCTATAGGGAGACTGATTGGGATGGTAACCTTAAAAGAGGTAAGTACCAAGAAGAAATAAAAGGGAAAAAAACAAGTTAATTGTGCTTATTAAGATTGAATCCTATATTAAAGTACTACTGAAGGCTCCTATATGACAGTCAAAACAAGTACCAGATACTATGTGATACGCAAGCCTCATAAAGTACACAAAAAACCCTTCTTTATTTTCCCTGACTGAATAAATTCATGCTTCATTTGTGTCTCACATGCTGCTCCTCAGACACTACAGCTCACAGTGGGTGGGTTAGAGCAGCAGCAGAAGTGCTGTCAATCCAGAAGGAAGTGGTCAGGTGCTTTTTAACAAGCTACAGGCTTGTAAATCAGCAATGACAATGCTGATAGCCCGCCATCTACAACATTTTTTTCATCACATCCTACATGAGAGTGGCAACTCTGCTTTGAATTCAGGAGCAGTGTAGCATTGTTCAAAAACATCACGGGAAGCTGCATTAGGTGAACTTTATTGGCATGTTCAACCAGTATTTGTGGAAATTTGCAGGGGAACTAAGAGAAAACTGTAAGTGCAGATGCAGTACATATGTTTTAATGGGAAGTCATAGTTATACTTTGACGTGTATCTAAACCCAAAAGCAGAAATGTAATATATTGCAGCTTACTAGTTCTTAGATGTGGTAGCTGCATTCGTTTTCTTTTTTTAGGCTTTATTTTCACCTGCTGATCCTGCCAGTAAGTCTGTTATTTTTCCATTTGCTTTAATAGACCTAGCTGTCCAGTAAAAGAGGGTTGAGGCAAATCATTGAAGTGACAGGGGTCCTTACAATGGTCAGCTCCTATTCATTTATGTAAAACGTTTATCCAAAAGGGAAAAGTATCAAACTTGCTGAAACTGCTTTAATGGTGTTAGCTGGAGTTCAGATTTAATTTGTTGGTCAAGTCCATCTAAATCTGCTAATGAATCTTAACGCTAACGGTGACAATCCTGCTGTCCAATGGTGGCTCCATTGTTCTGCCATAGAGTGTAGTCATCCTAAGACAGCAAGTGTGGTACTGGCCAGATCACCTGGTGAAAAGAAAGGAGAAAAAGCCTGACAAAAGAAAAAGAATGCAGCCACTACATTTTAGATTCTGTAAGCTGCAATATATTCCATTTTTGTTTTGGGTTTAGATACACTTTAAGGGTAATTTTATACACATGCCATTTTTGTGTCTATTAAACACACCTGTTTATGGGGTTTTTAAAGCATTTTCTTTACTTATACTGTGGAGAAAATGAGGTCTGATGACCCCAGACTGAGTAGAGGAGTAACTCGGGTTGCACCTGGTCGGTGTGCCGTCCACATTTCTTCAAACTTCGCAGGTTTGCCAGAGTGAGAGGATCAGCAGGGTGCTGTACATAGCTTCCTAAAAACATCAGAGCACCCTGCCTCAGTACGCCTCTCAACTGCCCTCAGCCCTCATGCAAGCAGTGGGCTGGTTCTTGGAAGGATTATTGCAGATATCAAATGCCTTGATGGGTGGATGGAAGTCTGGAGGAGTGGTCCTAGGAGTCCTAAGTAGGCTGCCTAGGTAAAGCCCACATGTGATGCTGAGCCTCCATGTTTGAAAAAACAGATGTCCAATTAATGAAAGGGCCGCCCAGGGACAGTCGAGCTAAACAGGAAAGGTCTAGATTATAATGGATGTCCTGCAGCCAGAGAATGAGGTGGACTCTGACTTACTACAGCTTCTAATGCACACCGTGAGAAGCACACAGTGTGCAGTTAAAGCAGAGACTTTACATTAAGTACGTCATACAATTGCCAGACCATAAGAACTCTAGCAGAAGTTTTAACAGGCCCTAATTGGCCATCGTAAATACTCTGGCAGGATAGTTGCAGGAATAAACATTCTGAGTCTGGTTTTTTAACCTGAGATCCTGCCAAGGACCAAATTCTATTAACAATTCAAAATCCTTGCTGTGACAAAGCTATATTAATAGCAAGTGTTTAGTAGGATTCCAATCAATTCAATACCACGCATGCCTATGCTAAAACGCCCAGCTGATGGTAAGACACCTTCTGAGAAAGCCAAACATGAAATCTATATCAAATCTGATGTCTATCAAATCATGATTTCATTCTGTGCAGAAAAGTTGGTTGCCAACTATAAAACTTCGTCTTCTGTAAATATTCATATTGTAAGAAAAGTATTATTAAAGGAGAATCCCCTAAAGTATTATCAAACATCCCCACCCTACATCCTTAGCCCTTTTGACTGCATGGGGTTGGCTCAGTGATACCCTCTAGAGCAGTGATTCTTAACCGTTCTAGGGCGGGGACCCCTTGGTAATATTTGCCACGTTGTGGTGACCCCCCAGCAGTAAAATATAGGGATGCACCAATATTAGTATCTGTGCTGATACTGAGCATTTGGGCGAGTACTGATACTCGTTTAAATTTTCCGATACCGGAGCTGCCGTTCAGAGGAAAATTCCATGCACCTTTTGCGACACTGCCAGTTAGCCGAGCTCCTGACCAATTGGGAAGAAGGGCGGTGGGTCATGACCTGCCACCCAGCTTCCTCATTGGTCAGGAAGCCAGTATGCAGATCTGCGAGGGAACAAGAAACCAGCTTTCCAGCCAATCAGGAAGCCGGGCAGTGGGTCATCTTCCTGAATGGCCAGGATGCCAGTCTGTCGCAGCACTGTTTTCGATACCGAGAAACTGGGATTACCCTTGCTGCAGCATGGCTCCCTTGGAGATCAGACTCCAGAAGAAAGGGCTACAAATCCCAGTAATACATTAAATAGCAATGCAGAATACTGCCAACTATAGAGGACTACAAGTCACAGCAATACATTATACAGCAATGCAGAATGGTACCAGCTATAGAGGACTACAAATCTCAGCAATACATATTACAGCAATGCAGAATGATATGAAGCTACATACTCTATTGCTCGGGGTTTGCAGCCTGATGTCTCCAGGGTCTCAGGTGGGCTGTGCGGGCTCTCTAGTGGCTAATAGCCTGTAAAATTTTAGGACTATGTAGTGTTTTCTGCACTTGTGCAGTCAGCCACCCAGATTCCATTAAAATTACTGGAGTAACCAGCCTATTCAGTGCATGTGTACTCAGCCACCAACAGTGAAATTCTCAGACCGCGGCACCAAAAGTGACGTGCGGGCCGGACTTCTCACAGAGAACTGACACTGCTGCGCTAGTAGGAGGCTGAGGAGCCACTCACCTAGCGCAGCAGAAAGAACGTGACGACCCACAGGTTGAGAACCGCTAATCTAGAGGGTCCACAAAAAGCTGCTGGAATTGGACAACTCTCAATTTGCCTATGAAAAAATGTCAGATTGCTAGGGGTCATTCATGAGAGCTGATGACCTTAACCTTCCTGGCGGTAATCCCGATTGTGGCTCGGGGTTAATTTTCAGTAACAAAAGCAGTAACCCCGAGCCACACTCGGGCATTACACTGTGCGTCACTTACCTTGTCCCTTCGAGCCCCGCTGTGTGCTCCCGGCCGATGCCGGCATCTGTCTTCCTTCACTTGCGAGCGCCCGTGTCGCAGGGGGGCGCAGCCGGCGGGAAATTCAAAAGTAAGGGGGGGGGGAAAAAGGGAGAAAATACTGAGATAATCAGACCGCCAGGGAGGTTAATACATAAGATTGGACTTTGCCAGAGACAATAATCAGGCAACTCTTGTTAAAGGGTTTCTAAACCCTCAGCTTTTTTTGCATATACTGTATCTGCTGCTAGCAAGCCGTAGATATATGCAAAAAGTTTGTGTTTTTTTTAAATCCACTTTAACAGCGGTTTAAACTTACCTGTGTCTTCCCCGCGCGCTTCCGTCCGAAAATGTAAAACTGCACGGGCGGCCGCAAAGCATCTTGTGCCGGGCGCATGTGCAGTTCACATTTTTGGTCGGGACGCGAGGAGAGACACAAGGTAAGTCTATGGATAGCGTGCACCCGCATGCAGACACCGTGGGACAGGAAGTGTCAGCAAGCACAGAGGAGTCAGCGCTGGAGAGAAGGCTGAAAACATCAGGAATGAAGAGGAAGATCGAATTAAGAGAGATTATTTAAGGTAAGTGCTTTAATTAAACGTTGGGGTGGGGGGAAAAATAATTTGCCTTTTAATGTCACTTTCCGTCATTTTCATTTTATAGCCTTTTATTTTACTGTTGTTTTTTGTAATATCATTTCTGTAAATACATTTCTTGCACCATTTTTCTTTCCTTTAGCAAAAGGATATTTTAAAATCATTAGGCTCATTCTCTAATTGCTCTAATCAGAAATGATATTCATGCCTCTTTCAAGAAAGCTACCATATTTTAAACTGTTTTCATCCCCATATGGCATTGCAGTGGGCTAATTTAAAATGCATTTTCATACAGCTCAGCTGGGCGCAGTTTACGGCATAAAAACAGATTTTGTGAACAAGCCCTAAAACAAAACCCTTTCTTTTCTTTCAGCTCCGCAAAGCCATAGAAGGCTCAGTGACTCAGAAGGGTGCAAAGGTACGTCCTCCTCTGGCCAGTTTCCGGGACAGCTTCACAAGTAGCAGTGAGACAGAGACTGCCAATGTCGGAAAACTATGGGAGAGAAGTCGACGGCACCTTCTACCTCGTGAGTCCAGCCCATCTGATAGTGACGACAAGTGACCTGACTGTCAACTCTTCACCCATCTTAAACCTGGAGGATTATTGAACTTCAGTACTGCCATTTGTGTCACAAAGCATAATGCACAGATGAACATTTAAATCAGAGTCTTCCATGTCAACTCCAAAAAAACACGAGTTGGATTATTTTGTGGCCTCTTTTGGCCTTCAATCCAGAAGTGCCCTGCAGCTTCTCAATGAAGTAAACACGTGGCTTGTGATAATCACAGGACTTGGTGCAATCTAGGACAGATGTAATAACACAGTGGCTAGACAAGAACTGATCTACCATAAATCAGTAGCCATATATTTTATTTATCCACCTGATGTATGCTGGAAATGGAAGGTTTAAAACGCACACTAATTTTACATGCAATTAAACTAAATAAATATAATTTATAAAAACCATGAAGTTATAAAACCAACATAAAAACCTTAGGTAGCTGCTATAAATTACAGCACAACTAACCAATGCCCCAGTGATAAAGGTTATAGCTGTCATTTTAAGCATGAGGATTGTGCAGTCTGGACCTGAGACAAATAACATATTTTTCACTGCCACAAAAAGTGTAATTATAACAAGTGTTAGCTAATTTGTATATTAAATAAGAAGGGATATTTGCCACTGTAACATTCTGGGTAGACTTCAGATACCACTACAGTTAAGAATATAACATGGTATGATAGAAACACAAAGCACTGCCAAACCTGCAAATCTCCCTTGTCAGACTGTGACCTTTCTATGATCTTCTGAGGCAGCAAAAATGTTTAGATTCACCTGCACAATCTCCAGGATATACTGGCACTGGAGACATGTATCTCTGTTTTAGGAGAATGGTCTCTTTTTATTTTATGAAGTTTGGAGAACTGGACACCTCTTTGGCTGGAGTTGTCTGTTTTTAACTGTATGATCACAAGGTACTTTCAGCTTGCCAATAATCTTATGTATTTTACTGTTTCATCATTTTGTTTTGTTAATGTTTTGTAATAATTTTCTGTACTTTTTAGAGTTATTTAATATCTTGACCTTCATTTAACTCATTTAAATAACATTTAAATAATAATCAATTTTTTTTTTCTAACACCTTACACTGACCTGACTATTTATATACTATAGTTTGACGCAAATTCCTGTTTGATATGGTAAGCAGAGAATTTCTGTTTAGTTGGGTGAATATGTGGACATCGTTTCAAGTATAACAGCAGCCAAAGTGTTGTTTTTTAATTTTCCATAAAGTGAGGAAAGGGTTAGAATCTCTAAGGTTTGTATTGCTGTCTATATCCCCATTGCAGAGATTTCTACTTCCTGTTGTGTCTTCAGGACAGGAAATACAGGAGCGTCTATAACAGGGACACGCACCATAATGCAGGCACATTTACTGGTTGTGAGGGGCCAAGTTTTTGTTGCTACCTGTGTGCCCATTAGCAGGACAGAAATTTGCAGGAAAACTCTCAGTGGGAACACCATTAGCACTAAAAACCTTGACAAAGGTTTTATCCCTCCCATACTCAATGCAGAGTTGGACATTATTTTGTTAGAACTACTGGTAACAGTCTTCTAGGACAGCTACCTGAGATGATTGGCTCCTACGTCTGGAACAGAGAACCATAAATTATTACAAGCCCATCCACCCACCTCATCCATCAGTGTTATCAGCTACCACCAACATGGTGCGCAATGGGAAAAGATTGATATGATCCTATCAAGATATTCTAACAGGCACCTATTTATTCAGTCTATTGAATTCCTTTTCTTTGGGATTGTTTGGGGTTTTCAAAAAAGTAGGTAGAAAGACCTTCTGTGATCTGTTAGATGTACATACTATTTTAGGTAAAGACACAGGCTCTGGTCACATCATAAGCTTATCTGTAATTACTTGTAGGGATCCTTAAGCCTGGAGGAGACTTGGATTCCTACCATTCTCACTGGAAGTATGGCCAGTAAGAAGAGATTCATTTTTTATGTTCATAGAAGAGTTTTGTGGGGGCTCAAACAGCTCTTGTGCTAAGTGCTCTAGAGCCATTGTCAGATGCCATGGAGAAATGATCGTCCTTGCAATACGTGTACAGCATGCCCTAGCTAGAATGAGAGGTCTGTTAAGTACTTCGCTAGCTAGTTTATTCAAATCTACAGATAAAGTAGTACTGAATACTGAAGACTTGACTTTTCTCAACACTTTTTTTTTTCTGTAGAAATGTTGGGATCCTAGCTATATCAAGCTGATGGTACCCAAATGTGGAACACTAAATACAAAATACTTTCCAAATTTTCTAACTAACCCTAAGTGACAGTTTTTTGTCTTTTTAATAGAGGGGTAGTTGCTGTAACCCAAACTTTATTTGGCTTTATGGATTGCCCATTTAGGATCTATGCTGTTAAACTGAACTACTGAGGGTGCAGAAGGATCCAAGGAAGGCCTATTGACAATAACAGGACTGGAAACTATGCCCTCCTTGGCCACCATGAAACGATCAAAATGATCTTTCCCTGTGCATGAAAATTATTCTTATAACTAATGGAAGAATCAACAGTGTTTCTGAAATCTGAGAGACCCATGTTTGGAAGCCCTCTATTGTAATCTGTGAGAATACCTGTTAGTGAGTTGAGCTTACCTTTTTATTATGGATAACTGAAGAATTTTACATGTAGCTTTGCCCATTCTAATAAATTTAGTGTTGCAGAAGTGACTGGGACCTGGTGCCACCCCGGGGGTTTTATATAGGCTACTGCCATAGAATTTATATAAACCACTGCCATAGCATTGTTGGAAAAGACAACTACATCTTCCCCCCTAATTTATTTTGAAGTACTTTTGCAATCACCAGAAGGTCCTTGAAATTCAAGGGCTCTTCCTTCAAATCTAAATCCCCGAGCATGTAGGGACATGGCATGAGCACCGCAGCCCCAAGCACCTGTATCGCAAGCGTATTTGGAAAACTGGTAACGTAAAGAAGGGGATCTAATTGATCAATATGGGCAATAAGTATGCTTTTCCTGACACTTTTTACTGTATCACGCCATCTTGTTTATAGAGTATTATGTGCAATAGATTTAGAAGTGAAGGGACCAAAGTCCACTAACACGGACTTAGATGACTGAAAAGTGGAAATCATCTCAGGGTGTTTAGTATTTATTAAATCTATCACCACAGTAGCTGTCTCTTACTCAGCAACTTGGCAAATATAGGCATCTCGTAAATGTTTTTCACAAGAACTGGAGAACCTGCAGCCACAGTTTTCAAGTTTTATATCCCGTTCTTTTAAAGGATAAGGACGAAGAGAACACACCCTAGTGTGTGTCTCACAAGCTGCCCAGTACACGTATCTGAGGAAATAGATTAAAAGTTTAACGCACAATACCCCACAGCTGCCCTAGGTTCTTACCACTGTTTTGGCCACATGACCAGCAGGAGGTTTCCTGCTCCCTGCCTTGTCTGCTGCCTCACCAGTCTTGTCCATGGCAAGAGAAGCACTCTGAGAGGGATTGTAGGAATAATGCGGCACCTTACCCGTGTGGCCACGTCTGCACAGCTTCTGCCTCCCTCTTCCCCAGGCTGATCATAGCCATTTTTCAGTACTATGCAAACCATGTGCTGCCCATATTACATTACTCCTGCAGTGGATGTGATGTCAAATGCCATCAGCTGCTTGGCCACCTAGCCCACCTCCACTGATCATCAGCTATTAGAGGATCAACATAGCATGACAAAAAAGCTTCCACTTGTCTGCACCCCTTGCTGGGGGGAAAAAAACCCAGCCTGGACCACCTGTATTCAGCCCCTGATGGGGTATATTTCTGATTTGCTCCTAAGCCAGAAGAATAAAAGGGAGCCTTCCAGATACCTCAGAGGATCACCAAGGTTAGAATACCACTGATAAAAAGGGGAACCACTGAAAAAAATATATAAAACTGGTCAGGAGAAAACAAAAAGAATTACACAACATCCTGCAGGGTATGTAACACAGTGAATGTGGGGAACTGTTCTGGAAGATGACTGAAAATACATTTTTGGCTGGAGTTCTACTTGAAACTAATTTTCTATTTATTTTAAAAGGAGTATGTTATTGCAAAGAAGTTTGTAACAACAAGCAGGCATTATCCCTAACTAGAACTATAGAAATAACTGGAATTTCTTTCATGTTTTGTACTGTATATCTTAATTTAAAGGATTTTGTACATTAAAGCGTATGGAAAACCGATAACAGGAACAGGGGAATCTAACTGATAACTATGCTTTTCCTGACACTTTACTGTATAACGCCATCTTGTTTATAAAGTATTTTGTGCAGATTGATGCAAGGGACAAAATCACACAAGCTGTAATCAAAGAATAATAAAATTAATGAAAAAAAACAATGAATTGGAGCCTAACTGCTGCTTGTCTGGTGACCTGACAACTTTGTCCAGTAGAGGTTTTCACTACGTTCTCTTTAGTATAAATGTAAAAAGACAAATGCAAAGGTCCACTGCTCTAAATAATCTGACTTGGGCTTCAGGTACAGATGTATATCTGTGATGGAACTACAATTTCTGCCAACCCTGGATAGCAGGGCATTCTGGAACTTCTTCAGTATTTTAATGGCACTGCAATGTTTAATGCTCATGTAGACCGTAAAAATATAATGCTGTCCAAAAACAACTCCAGGAAGTCCCAAATGTAAAGGTTTGGATTGAGGTGAGTTAAAAACACAACCTCTTTTGCTGTAGCCCTCATCTCTAAATGTGCTGTTTCATAAATGTGCAGCTTCTTTCATGGTCCAAAAGGATTTCAGGCTAATGCACTCTGCTCTGACATTGTGGGCTGATTTACATTTAAAATCAGGGGTAGTTAGGTTAAACTGGACCTAATTTACTAAACTGTGTTCAAATCAAACATCCAATCGTGTGTAAATTTTAGTGTATGTCAAGCCAAAAACCTTTTTTTCCGTTTTGGATGGATTCGAACCCCTGACCCCAGCTATCTGGATCTGCGTTAGAGATTTTCCCCCTCACTTTCTGGACAGATAACACTCAGTTTTAACAGACAGCAAGTAAAGGGAAATCTGCAACAGGTACTCAGACAAAAAAGAAAAGTATAATGGGTTCTAACCTTCCCTGACTCTATGGGGAAAAAAATCATTTTTATTTCTGCCTGGGTTGCTGTTGTAGAGTTCTCCTCACTTCCTCTCTGGGTGAATGTTGTTTAGCAGGACAGAAATCCCCCTGAGCCCTGGAAAGCAGTGAAAAACCGTCGGGGGTCTGTCCATTCCCAAAATCTATCCATAATCCATCCATATTATACAGTAGAAAGCAGCAATCGCCAGCAGTCAGTAAATATAGTTCAAGTAATGAATGTCCATTTGTTTGGACCAGTCGACAC